CATTACACAGGGAGTGCATTTTTGTCTTTACTTTATTTAAAATGTATTCATCAAACTTTTGAAATGTTTTAAATTATTGTTTTGTTTTTATTTTCCTTCACGAGCCAAATTAAATTGCCTTGTGGGCCACATTTGGCCCGCTGGCCGCCTCTAAGAACCCAGGGGCCGGATTTATCAAACTAGAAATCAGCTTAAATTCGTATTAAGTCCATTGTTTTGCTTAAGTCAGATTTATCAATATTGCTTTGGTTAAAACTTGCTTAAATTTAAAAGCTGTCTCTTATACACATCTTGTTTGTGTATGTATGAATACCTCGAAGTTATAAGTATCAATGAAAGAAGGATGATAATGAAGAACAGCTCTCACCACTGGAAAGCCGTTTTCCTGTCACACCCCTTCCTCTCCAAAACCTTGTCATCGATCTCCAGTGTTGCGGATTTCCCAGCAATAGTTGCGAAGGATTTAGTTTTCCTCGAATTGTTCTCAACAGCGATCTGCCTACTTCCATCGTGGATACAGAAGCGAACGCGGAAACCCATATGTAGCGGTGATATTGCTTCAGGTAATTAAGGAAGTGACGGCGTGCTTGGTAACCAATAAGTCCACCGAATCTGTATTGAATATTGTAGTAAATAAGTTAATTTTTTTTTTTTAATTTAAGTGGAAAACATACCGGTATTTTATGTTCAATATGTTCAATTTCTGAGGCAGGAAATCCATGAAGTGTCTTGTATGAGAAAATAACAAAAGAGTACCAAAAACATCCTTTACGCATTAAAGCCAGCCAAGTCAAGTAAAACTAAAACGAGTCTTTTAATCGCAAAAATTGTTAACTTAAAATGTGCATCTTATCGAGAGAACTTTTTTTTTTAAAACTCATTATAATATGGTAAAGCTGCAGATAGCTGGTCTATGGTAGGCCAAAATTATTTAGGCAGATAAGACCAAGATATCACTTTCTAAACATTAGGCCAACATCCGGAGAAACTTGCCAGAGGAAAAACTTTTTATTGGATTTGATTGCACTTTAGCCTGTCATGACAGAAGGGACAGGAAAGGAATATTATGTGAGTACATCTCCGCTCTAGAGCCAAGTAGGCCTATTCATTGAAAAAAAATAATGTAACTCTTGTGACTGCTTATTACATGAGTGTACTTACTGGTTCTGGATCTGTGAGGGATTGATTGTTGTGACGTCAGACCTTGATCCAACATCTTTTCTGAATCCGTTAATGAGAGGTACGTTAAACCTGATATCGAAAGATAAAAAATGGTAGAGCTATATGACATATATCGTGTATTTACAATCTATTTGTCAAACGCTTTACTTGCGTCAACAGGGCAAATATAGGCCGTACGTCCGGTGTTACGAACATTCTGTTACCATCAAGAAATTAGGTTCCAGACCTAAATTCTCGATTAATCGAAAATTTTGGGTTTGTCAATAAATTAAGATCCACTCTCATTTTATGGCCCTTATAGTACAGTGCATAAATATTTCCTTTGTTTGAAACTAACGACCGATCGTTATTAATGAGGTGAACTTGTATTTGGAACAAAAACCGTGAAAATATGCAGGAAAAATACGATTTTAATGTTTTTTAGTCTTGTTAATGCTGCAAAGACTACAACGCTGACCTAATTCTCATTACTGCTGCAACAGCAGCGCGAAGATTGTCCTTGTTACCGCCTGTTCGCAGCCAGGCTTTGCATCGTGACGTATGAGTGACTCTTCCATTTTCAGCCAATCAGAGTAGGTATATGCTCAGAGTGGGGAAAAGAAAAGATGAAAAAGATGGATAGCGGTTACTACAGTACTGCAAGCTGATTGCCTTTGATAATGAATAACGCCAGTAAACATAAGGCATCAAAATTGTTGGTACGCTATACCCATCGCTGCTTATCAAATTTTAAAAACATTATGTTTAGGCCAACTTCTTACTGAATATTCCATTGCATTTTATTTTTAGACGTTATCTGTGTTTTGTTCTTTACTCGTTGGCTATGCAATTTGAAATCCCACATGGAAATAAGTATATTGTTACTTTTTATGGCTTACCCTATTACTCAGGATTGCTTGTTGTACTTTTGCCTTTCTTATATCCTGTTGTTTTAATGTTTTAATTACGTGATTAATGAATAAATTTAATTCAAACTATTCAAACTTGATTGGAAATTAAACTTGAGAATATTGCCAAAATTGTTTGTCAATGTTCCAAAAGATAATGGCCCCTAATGTTGAGGTTTTTCTAAAGGTACGTTAAACCTGATATCGAAAGATAAAAAAATAATAGACCTATATGACATCTATCGTGTATTTACAATCTATTTACTTGCGTCAACATGACAAATATAAACCGTACGCCTACACCGGCCGTGTCTATTATACTATTCAACAGTGTTCTTTTTAATACGAACACACTCCATTAAATTAAGTTACCACTCTTATAATATGCAAATTAGTGATTTTTTTAAATTATTTTATTTTATAGGAATTTCTTGGGTAAAAAAAAATCAAAAATTAGAAAAGGTAACCAAGAAATGCCAAAAAACACGACACAATATTAAACGCAACAAATGCTTAATCGGTTTGCCTAAAAAGCCGTAGTTAATTAAGTGTCTCTCCAACAATGC